ATTTATTTGAGAGAAAGGCATGCATGTGCATGGTAGGGAGGGTTGCAGAGGGAGAGGGACAGCAGACTCCCTGATGAGCACAGAGCCTGATGCAGGGCTTGACCCCAAGACCCTAAGATCATGACTGAGCCTAAATCAGACACCCAACCAACTGAGCCACCCTGGCACCCCAGCAATAAAAATATTTGTAACTAAAATACCTAGCTGGCATAACCACATCTTATTCTGAACAGTTACGGTCAGTTCACTAAAAGTATGTTCTAACTTTGACTGAACTTTTATAGACACATTCTTTAGATATTTATAGCTATTTTCGTTTATTCACATCTATTTCTACAAATGTGTAATCTTTAGCAGACCCAGAGAGGAATGTGTTTAAGCACTGCACTTGCTTCGGAGACGTGCAATCTTTGGAAACCCCTGCCGTCTGGTGTCCAGTATAGGGAAATACTTCTGTCTTAGCTGTGAATGTTACAGGAGTAAGAGGCGAGTTTAAAGCTCTTGACACACATCAGGGACTGTTCCTAGGGGACAGGCCATTGGGTATTATGCATGTTGACTCCCTAGTGTTTCTTCCTTAATGAAGTTCAAAGGAACGTTACACCACCATTTCTCAACCTCGTCACTACTGACATTTTGAGCCAAATCATTATTGCGGGGGCTGTCCTGTGCAACGCAGTAGGTTACGGCCCCCGGTTCGAGCCTGAAGCCCAGATTGCAATTCCTAAGTCCTCATGTTATGTACTACACACAGGGGGAGATGTTCCAGGTGCCAGATATGAAAGCATCCACTTTGTGGTAGGACATAGAGTCCACAACAAAATTTTAAAAATTTAAATGAAAAACAACCACTTCTTATTAAGCATGATGGGAGTTGATATGATGATTCCTTCCTTCATTCATTAAGTAGGTATGAGTTAAGCAGCACCTCTGAGATGTAGTTGGGGGCTAGGACTATGGACCTGCCCTTCAGGAGCTAACACATCTAGAAGGGTTCAACGGGGTATTTTTCAGTTTTAAGTCCAACTGACTTAATAATGGAACACACACACATTTGAAAAGCCCACAGGCAGTGCAGGCTTCAGGTAAGGCTGGGGACAGCGACTCAGGCTTGCCATCAAGGACCGTGTTTCCTTCAGCCTCCCTGCTCCTCCTATTGTCAGTTCCATCCTAGGGCTGACCTTCCCGTGGTCAAGCTCCTAATACTATATGCTTCCTCATTTCCTGAAAGGACCTGAGATTCACTTTGACTGGACTAGTTTAGGTCACCTGCCCATCCCCAAATCAATTGTTGCCACCAAGGGAATGGAAAGTGTTGATTTGCTTAGTCTGGATCCCTTGCTCCAACCATGCCACCAGTTCCCATGGAAATCATGTTGACTCCACCAAAGCACCCCGGTATTGCTGGGAGGGGAGAAGGAGAGCCACAAATGCCAGGCAGATGTGGAGTCCTCAACCAGCCACAGTGCTCACATGGTCTTTACTGTTTTCCACGCAGGCTCTGCCGGCTCATTTCAGCCAGTACCAAGGCCCCAGCACCATTTGTGTGGGTCTCTGGGAAGGCAGCCCTCTGTGCTTTACATCTGCTCCTCCCTCTGAAATCTCCTTCCAGCTCCACTCCTCAGTCACCTGCTTCTTTCAAAGCTCAGAGTCAGCCCCTCCGAGGCAGCTTCTCCCCCCTTCCTCCGTGCTTCCCTGGGCCCCGTATTGCTCATGTTTCATTTGTCCACTTCTCCAACATGGCACTAGATGATGGCTTTAGACCTGCATTCTGAGAGTTTTTGGTCTACTAAGTTCCTAATTCCTAATAAAGGAATTGAGAGCTTTTGGTAGTGATTCCTCTGGTGTCCTCAAATTTCAAAAACAAGATGGCTACGATGTGTGTGTTTGCGCATCTATGCACACTTGCACATGTGTGAAAGAGAGTGAGGGAAGCAGACAGGAGCTGTGAAAAGAGCAAAGGATGTACAGTCAGATCGTCCTGGGTCTAAATTCTAGTCGGCACCCTTATAGATCTGAGGCTTTGGCCAATGGATCCTCACTAAACCCTGTTTTCTCGCCTTAAAAATTATGCATTATATATGATGCAATCATGCTTTCTATGACCTTTACGTCATAGTAACCCCTGTTACTATGCTATTGTGCCTGTTATTCACTTACATAAGGCACATTTAACAAATAGTGCATTTAATACTTTTAAGTATTGCCGTAACTATGATTCCCTTATTGGTAAATCACAAGGTGACTTTGGCTGGGAGACATCAACGATGTGTCATTCCAAGAAGGACAAGAGAAGTAAGGCCCTTCGGGGCTTAAAGAAATGTGTCCCCTTCCAGCTCCATGTGACCTGCAGATCAGAGGTGGAGTGGAAGGTGGAGGTGCGGCTGTCCCTTCCACCTGCCCTGCCCAATCGTACCCTCCGTGGCACCTGCCTTGGCACAACAGCTAGTGTGTGCCCACAGGACTTGAATTGGCCCTGCATGCATGCAGAAAGAATAAAAATGACCATAGTCTTTTTTTTTTTTTTTTTTTTACATGATCCATTTTAACTAATGCATTTAGGGCAGGTTTAGTACAAAAAGTGGGAAATAGTACAACAGGCTTGGAGACATATCTAGTTTTTAAAATATTAACTCTTATGGCAAAAATACCCCTTTATGAGATCCTTCTATAAAGTTGCCTTTTCCTTGATATGAAACATGGTCCTTCAGATGTATGGTGTTGACGCATCTGTCCTTGTCGGCTTCTTTGGTCTGAGCTGCCACTCAGTTGTTTCCTAGCCAGGTGGCTAACCTTTCTGAATATCACTTTGCTCATCTATAAAATGAAAATAATTCTAATGATGGAATGAAGCCCTGTTGTAAATGTAGTGCACCTCACTCCCTCAGTCTTGTCACTTTTCATCTTTCTATTTATTACAAATCCACCAGCCCTGACTTTGCTGGAAATCTAGCCTTTTCCCAGAGCCCCTTGGCTATATATATTCCCCAGAGGTCAAGACTAATAACCCCCAGATGTATTATGACATTGTTTTCTTCCTCTGCCCCGTCCCACCCTAGGCTTCAGGGGCGAGCCTTTTCTTTCTGGTTCCTCCACGGGGAGTTAATTACTTCAATGCCCCACTTTGGAAAAGCTCTCCATAAGCATTTTTGTTTTGAAAGTTTGGGACTCTCAACCATATCCTATCTTCTTAATAGTGTACGTGTTTTTAGAAAGACCTCGGGACTTTTTGGAGTCTAAGAATGTAAAATTTGTATCATGGACGATTCTGAATGTCTTTGGGAGAAGTGCACAATCCATGACCAGACCAGAATCTACTGAGAAAATAATTTATTCAACTGTGAATCAGGAATTTTATTTTATTTTTTTAATGTTTAAGAAGAACTATTCATGAGATCTTGTGTTTACTCACTTGGGATTTAAATTTAAACAAACAAAAGGAAATCAAGATTCCCTCAAAGGTAAATAAACATCAGTCCTTTCCCCTAATCTTTTAAGATAGGGCATTTCTTTGGTGTAGGACATAAATGCTCAACTGTCCTTACTCCAGAAGGGATCCCGGAAAACTTGAATCCTGGAGAGGCAGCACCCTGATGTGTGGCCTTCATTTTCTTTCACGAAGTCCGCTTCTTTAGGACTTTGTTGATTTGGTTTGGTTTTGCCGGGTTGTGAGATTTTTTGGCAAGGACTGAAGAGTAGGAGGCACAGTGAAATGGTAGGAAAAAAAAGATGTGGGTTTTATTTGGATCACATAAGCCCACTGTGCCCACCATGGAGCCAGGGCAGTGGTTCTTCAAATCCATTACTTAAAAATGGAAACAAACTGACCCAAACTGGAACACATGCCAACTATAAATATTCCTGCCTATGTAGATGTTGCCTCCCAACTTCCTTGACACTGAATCACTTAACTTTAAATAATATGTAGGATTTCAGAGCTTCTCTTAGAGAAGGGAACTGCATGTTAAGCTGTTCAGTCATGAGGATGGGGTCTCCCACTGCCATCCCCTCTGCTTCTGATATGAAGCAGATTTTATTCGCTGTTGTTATTCTGGTTGTTACACTGCTTTAGTGCAGATGGGGCAGGGGAAAACAAGAGGTTGCTTGATGGGAGGGTTTTTCCAATCCGGTCTACTCCTGGATGTCAGCCCTCCACTCTGGGGCATGATGGGCTGGGGGGCCTTGAGGGTTCGAGCAGGCAGAGGCCAGGCACATTGATGACTGGCTGTCATGCAGCCCAGGTTTGGGAAGTTGAACTCTTTGCCAGGCTCTTTAGTCTACTGTGGGCCTTTGCCTACTCTGTCACCATCCACTTCAAAGCTCTGGCCACAGAACTGAGGACTCAAGCAGCAGAGTCCAGCAGACTGAATGTGACTTGGGCCAAAAGAGAAGCATCTCCATGCAAGACCACCGCCCTGGTTGCTGTAGGTCTGAGGCAGCCAGAGATGGCCCGCACGGCCTCCCACACAGCCTCCCACACAGCGCCTGGATCCGTGCTGTGTTTAAGCACCAGCCCCATGCCCTGCGCCCCTCAGAGGTGGCCCACAGTGACCAGCCTCTTTTCCCACCCTCTGCCACTTCATGGCAAACTCACTATGAGTCTGTTTCCACTCCATGCTGAGCCCCCATTGGCTCATTCACATATCCTGGGACTCCAAACCTTCACCACCATGCTATCCACTGGGAATTCTCCACCAATCTGTACAGAAGCCAAATGACATTGTCCTCATGGGAAAAGAACATGGACAGCCAATGGCCTGAAGCAGTCTGCTCCTGAAACCATCCGAGGATTGCCAAGGGGGACTGACTGTGTCCTTCCTCAGAGTTCTGCTGCTGAGCAACTCAGCAAGGACACTGAAGTCGAGGAGCTGACCCCTCACAATTGTATCTTGTGGCTAAACACTTCCTTAGCACCTTTTCCTCCAGTATGTTATCTGGCATGTGCAGAAGGTTTCTGGCTTTTTCTTTGCCTGTGTCCAAAAAAAAAAAAAAAAAAATTCTTTTTTTTTTTTTTTGTATTTCCCCCAAACCCAGAATAAATAAGAAATCACTGGGAATTTACACCTGATTACCATAGGTTCATTCTCCCATACTGCGAAGTTCAAAGTTACAAGTAAGTATTTGTGGTGTTGGTGTTTTGTTAGTATTGTTTAAAAGTTAAGTGTTACTCTCCTGAGAAAGTTGCCAGAATCATACTCTCTCAAATTCAGAAGCCTATCAGCACAGTTTAAAGTCAGATATTATTTCTAACCAAATTATACTCTTTTGTCTGCCAAGATATCTTGACAGTCTTAATATCCGAAGGCAGGCCTATGTGATAATCCCAGCAGTATTCTGGGGATAAGATTTTAGTGGGTTTGTTGAGAAGGAAATACTTGTTCAGGTGGCTTTCATCATGCCACTCGGCTTCTATATCATTTTTCTTGTCCTGGAGGATTCCCTTGAAGCACTCCTGGGTGATGTTTAGGACCTGAATGGGTGTGCCTCCAAAAATGGCTGCATGGTAATAAAAATCCCCTTGGCCAAATGGAATGTAGGCTGCAGACTCCCTCCGCCTCTCGTAGGTAAACTCGTCGGGATCTGCCTTGTACCACCAGGCCTGCAGCTGAGCCACCGAGTGGCCCAGCGTCTCCACTCCAAAGCTATCTTGGAAGACCTGGTCCACGTCCATGCAGAAGAGGAAGTCCACTTCATGTTGGATGTGGGCCACAATGTGCTCCCCAATGGTTTTCATACGCATCATGCTGATGTCCTGCCACCTCTTCTCAGGCTTGATCTCAAACACTTTGAAGGAACGCAGAGGACCCAGCTCTATCAAGGGCATCCTGGAGACATCGTCCACCATGATGTAAAATATGACTTTGTGGCCAACCATGAAGTACCTATTGGCAGATACTAAGAACTCCTCCAAGTAATGCTCAATGTATCTGAAACAAAGAAGGACGGGACAAATGTAATTGCTGGGATCTGCACAGGAGACTCCATGCTCTTACAATGATCTTGTCTGTGTTTGGCAGTGTAGGGGAGGAATAATCTTCCCCATCCCAGACGTGTGTTTTCCACATCTGATAGGGCAACATTCCTGGCTGCTTTCCACCATTCATTCGCTCCACTTTGGGGAGGAGGAGTGACTTACCTGCTGATGTTGGAAGACTGACCTGTACTCACCACTCTCGGCCTGTGTTCTCAACTGCTTGGGGCCTTGAAGTGGGAGTACTGGAACAGGCCCTACCCTGCACCTGGAAGCCTGGATACCTGATCTTTCTAATTCAGTGATTTAATATCAGGAAGCCTAGGGTCTGCAGACAGAAGCCACATTCTCCAGTACCCACCTTAACTGCAATGAACATGATTTCATGTCATCTATCTTGCTTAGATTGGCCCTTAGTCTTATTTATCTCTTGGTTCAGACTGGGCAGGCAAAGTGGGTACTATTTGATATTTTTTTCCCAGCTTCACTGAGGTAGTTGACATGTAACATTGAATAACATTAAGGTATACAAAGTATTGGTTTGATACACTTGTATATTACAAAATGATTACCACTACAGCATTAGCGGATACCCCCATCATGTCACATAACTACTATTTCTTTTTTGTGATGAGAACATCTGAGATCTACTCTCTTAACAACTTTCAAGTGCATAATAACAGTATTATTAACTATAATCACCATGATATACATTAGATCCCCAGAATTTATTCATCTTGTAACTGGAAGCTTGTACCCTCTGACCAACATCAGGGGGCGCTAGTTCTCCCTCAAACTATACCCAATGTTGCTATTGTCCTACCGGATACAAGAGTGAAATGACCCTTAGGTTCTTTGGGGACATATTATGCCTAACCATCACTATTCTCATATCCTCTTCTGGGACCCAGAGAATGGGTTACAGGGCATAGATATCCTTCTATATTACATATTCACCCTGGGAGCCTCCCACTGATCACCCCAAACACCAATACACCGTTCAGATACCACCACTGTAAGACTCCTCCTAACACCAGAGCAAACAACCTGATTTAACCTTAGTTTAACTATTTTTTTCCTTGTTTTTCAAAACAGATTTTATTTTTCACACCATGTTTACGTTCACGGCAAAACTGAACTGAAAGCACAGAGTTCCCATGTACCCACTGCTCCCCTTCCCTTCCCACAGCCCCCCCCCACTACCAGTATCCAGCATTGGGGTGACACATGCCTTGCAATCCGTTAATCTTCACTGACCTATCATAATCACCCCATAGTTTACATTAAGATTCACTCTTGGTATTGAACATTCTATGGATTTGGACAACTGTATAGTGACATGTATCTATCACTATGTATGGTATTATACAGAGTATTTTCAATGCCCTAAAATTCCTGTGTTCTGCCTGTTCATCAGCACCTCTCCCCCAACCCTACCCCACCCCTGGCGATCACTGATCTTTTCACTGTCTCCATAGAATGTCATATAGTTGGAATCATACAGTATGCAATCTTTTTAGATAGGTTTCTTTCACTAAGTTAACATGCATTTAAGGTTCCTCCAAGTATGCATGGCCTGATAGCACATTTCTATTTAGCACTGATAATATTCTAGATATTACAGTTTATTTATCCATTCACCTACTGAAGGATGTCTTGGTTGTTTCCAAGTTTAGCAATTATCAATAAAGCTGGTGTAAACATCTATGGGGAGTTTTCTTGTGTAGACATATGTCTTCAACTCTTTTGGCTAAGTAACAAGGAGTGCAGTTGCTGAATTATATGGTAAGATTATGTTTACCCTTGTAAGAATCTGCCAAATGGTCTTCCAAAATGGCTGTACCATTTTGCATTCCTACCAGTAATGAAGGTGAGTGCTCGTTGCTCCACATCCTCACCAGCATTTGGTATGTGGTACTGACAATGTGTTTTGGATCTGGGCCACACTAATGGGTGGGTGGAGATATTTTAGCTATGTATGTCTTCATTCCAAATACGTCATATTGGTGTCTTCTGTAACCCAAGCTGTACAATCTTGTGAAGCCAGGAAGATCACAGAGAGGAGGAAGAAGTAGGAGTCACATGGCTTTACACAACTCATGCAGATCCCAGACTCATGCTTTGCTCAGTGACTGTGGACTGAATTTAATTTGCTGATCATAGCTGCAGCCAATCAAGAAGTTTTATGGGCCATAATAACTGTTACCTCATTGTGCTTTTTGGTAACTGCCTGGATTTCCTTTCTTTACTACCAAAACAAAGTGTGCTTTTAAAGCTGGCCACCAGAAGCCCAAGAGTTTACAGTCCTAGTGATTTAAATGGAAAGAAGGTATCTGAGCAGTATAAACAGGGAGTTCAGCATGGCTCTGTGGCTGGTTGCCGGGAAATTCTTGGGCACTCTGGAACTTTAAGAAAAATCTATTGTGCTCTGAAGCTTGGGAGACAATCCTAGGATGAGGGAGGGAGCTGCTGGAGGTTTAACATTGTTTAGGGATTAAAACACTGCTGTTGGCTCCCTGCATTGTTATTTGAAAACAAACCAAACATCACACCTCTTAAAAGTCCAAATCCACTCTTACAAGGATTTATTGCTGCTGAGCACACAAACAGTCCTCGCAGCTTCAGAGCGGAGAGCATAGGGCTTTCCCCAGGATATGTGATTTATAGTTTGGTTCTGCAGAGTTGCAGCTGGGCGGTAAAGCTGTTTTGGAGCCATAGACAGTATTCTGTTCTTTGGGGGAACACCAAGAGCAAAGCAATCCCTAACATAATCCCAGTGCCATGGGATTAGGTGAGCTGAGTTTAGGCTCCTGACTCAGAACGCTACAAATTCTTCTGAGGAAAATGTCAAAACTCCAGAGTCAACCTTGTCTATTAGAGATGCCACCCAGGTGACTAACCAGGTCACCATTCTTGATTAGTATGGCTACAGCGATGGCTTCTGGGTTCTGGGTAGGGGGCGTCTCAGGAGAACCATCAGATCTTCACAGAGCTCTCCTTTAGGCCCTACGGCAGGTAGATCTGAGGCTCAAATCAATCTGGGCCTTCAAAACACTCTTTGTAGAGGCCAAGGGATCAACTTTCCATGTGGTTTTCAGGAAAGGAACAGAAGGAGAGACCCATGGTGGGGGTGGGGACTAGGAAAATTGAACTTTTGCTTTTGTTTTGGGGGGAAAAAAAACCCAAAGTCTTTCCAAAAGAGCAAAATGGTGAGTCGACTCCTCAAAACCCAAAGACTTTCCAAAAGAGCCATAATATTAGTTTTAAAATGTAACATTTTAAAATGTAAATTTAAAATTTAAAATTTAAAATGTAACATTTTAAAACTAATATTATGGCTACTAATTTCAAGTAAGAATGACTGTAGTTTTGGAAGAGGCATTCTAAACAAGGAAATGAAAGCCCAAACAGGAACCTACCCAACCTCTCTGGGGGCCAAGGAAGACCTGAGGCACCGTGGAAGACATGGAGAATCGCCATGCTTGGATCAGTCTGGACTGTAGGTCCTTCTGTCCTTGTTCCTGGGTCTGAGAGTGTTACGAGGATGGATGATGCACATTTGGGCCAACAGCTGCCATTTTTGGAATTTCCAGAGAAAGCCTTGATATGTGTGGGTGTGCTACAGACCCTAGGCTCCATGGGTGGAACGGACACTTTAACCTACAACCCAAGACCCTCACTTTGAGGTGGGAAGGAGTCAACTCACTATTGTTTTGTTCTCAGCCCTCTAGGGGGCGGGGGAGCCTCAGCAGAGGAGGGATGGAAACCATCCCATTATAATATTTTCCTATCTAAGAATTCAGACAAGGCAGGAACAACTCCGTGAGCCCAGGGGGCCCCTTACAAACACTCTGACAACGAAACCAGAAAAAGTGGAGGTTGATCTTATTAGGGACACTTACCTTCCAACAGCAAAAACTGTCAAACCCACGGTAATTTTCTGTTTGGCATAATAATTCTCTAGGATGGTGCTGTTGTAAGTGCCTTCCCACACGACCGGCGCCTTCCATCCGGTCACTGTCACCACCTCTGGACGTTTCCTGGTGACAAAATATAGGGCCATGAGTCAGGACAGCTTTCCTAAGGTGGGGCAGAGACTGTCTCAGGGGACACTGGGGTCAGCTATGATCTGCTGAGACTGCCCCTGAATCCTGACTTCACCCCAGGCAGTCAGCGGACTGGTGTGACCTTTGCAGGGGCAGCATCTTTTGCATGAGGAGCAGGAGGCTCTAGCCAGGTGCCTTTGAGGGCTGCCTTTAGGTCCCTGATGGGGATCTTACCTGTACATCTCCATCACTCTGTCCCCTTTTGCGGCTTTCCTAGTTCTCTTCTTCCTCTGGATCCCTTCCCCTATCTCCCAGCCCTTCCTAAACTGCCAGTGGCATCTCTGGGTTCTTTCCCCATGGGTGCCATCAGGAGGCCCTAATCCTTGACTTGGGAGGATGAGAGAGTGACCTTGGAACCAAATGAGAGAAAGCTATTTTAATCTGCCTTTTGCCAGAAATGGATTTCCGGGTAAAACCTTGGTTATAGGCCAAAAAGGGCCCCCATTTAAGGGGGTTCTGGCATTATTGTTTGTTTTATGAACAAAGAGACAAAGTCACCCAGAAAAGCAAGGACTTAACAGAGCCTACCCCCCCATGGCCAAGGCTGGAACATGGGGCTCTGGCACAGACCCTCCCCTCAGACCACATTGCCTCTTTGCTAGGAGCACAAAGGGCAAAGGGGAAGCATGTTTTCTGCACTTAGAATGCTCAAAAGGGACTTGGCAAAGCCAACACAAACACAGGAAGCAACACAAGAGCGACAGCAAACTGACCAACTGTGGAGGGTAGATGTGGAAGGGCTGTGTAGCAGTTGGGGCCCAGCAGGAGGGGGTGATACAGACTCAGCTCTGACCCCCAACTGCTCAGGAAGTGGCTGCATTTCCCCTGCTGGGAAGCAGAGACTGAAACAGTCATCAGATTCAAACCCCAGCACGAATGGGCCTGTCCCCATTAACCACCTGCTTGTACTTCATCCACTGAGGGGGAAAGGCCAGTGATGAGGGCAAAGTCCTAGTGGTCCCCACTGGGGCCCGGCCAGCTGTGTGCATGTGGCCCTGGGGAGGCTGTTGGGGACGTGACAGCAAATAGATGGAGCCAGCGAGAACTTCCCCTAGTCCCACACATCGGAGGAGGGTGGGTTTTCACAAAACTGCCCGAATCCCACCACCTAAGCTGGCATTTCCAGAGTGAGGCTGGGCAAAGCTGGGTCAACCACAACCTCATCCCAGCCCCAGCCCTAGCCCCAGCCCTCAGCCCAGCTCCAAACTCACCCAGTCCCAGCTCCAGTCCCAGCCCCACCCCAGCCCCAGCCCCAGAGTGGAAAAGTGCCTCAGCAGATTCTCATCTTCTGTCCATCAGTCACCAAGCTCTTCACTCTACTTCTTGAGATGACAGAGAGTCCCTCCGGCTCCAGCCTGTGCCCTGATTCAGGCCTCCCTCTCGCCCTGCACAGCTGAATCGCCCCCAGAGATGGGGGTTGGGGCACTCTGAGGCTGCTCTCCTGCCCCCCTATCTTGTCTGGAGTCTGGGGTCTGCCCTCACACCCTGCGTGGGCTGGCTGCTCTGAGAAGAGCCGCTCTTGGTTTCCTTCAATCATGAAAGCACCAACCTGTGCCAGGCACCTTCACTACACTTTCTCATTTAGTCCTGGCAACAGTCCTGCCACATATTATGTCTCTTGTACAGGTAAGAAAACCGAGGCTCAGAAAGACTTGCTAACTTGGCTGCCACTGATGGAAACTAACATGAGCACATCCCGTGAGACCAGGCACTGTGCTCAGGGCATCTCCCTTCAGAGGTACTATTTTGATTTCCATCTTATCTGTGAGCAGCACAGAGAGGTTAAATAGTTTGCCCAATGTCACAGAGCTTAGTAAGAGGCAAAGCCGGTTTTTGAACCCAGATGGTTTGACTCCATGCCCTGAGCTGCAGCCCTGTATTGCTGCTTAGACACGTACCAGCTCTGCTGGTGAGGCTGGGTTACAACCCACATCTGTCATCATTTCCACTCACCTTAGCTACCCTGGCATTTTTATCAGTGCAGAATGAGAAATAATGAGCTTTTGTTTTGTTATGTTTTTAGAAGTTTATGTGGTGCTTTTAGTCACATAAAACCCCCCCTTTGTTGAATGACAGGATTTCAAACCACAAAACACCACACACACACACACACACACACACACACACACGGCTTACACATCTATAACCAACGTTTCTGAACTTGAACTCCGCCCTGTGTCACTGCCTCATTCTTTGCGGTCCTTAGTTTTAGCCCATCAAGTATCTTTCAGTAGTTCCAACCCAGCCCACTAGCCAAGTCTTGCAACTGTTTACGAGCTGGACATGTTGTAAGCAGGTCATATTATTTAAAAAAAAAAAAAAAAAAAAGAGGAAAAACGGGAGCGTGGGTAGCTTGGTCAGTTAAGCATCCAGCTTTTCATTTCGGCTAAGGTCATGATCTCAGGGTTGAGATCAAGCTCTGCCTTGGGCTCACTCAACAGGGAGTCTGCTTGAGATTCTCTCTCTCCCTCGCCCCACTAGCTCTCGCACTCTCCCTAAGTAAGTAAGTAAGTAAATAAAATCTTTTTTTTTTTATCTTTTTTTTAAAAAGATGGCTACTTGGCAGGTAGCAAGTGCACTTATTTAATACTTATGTGCACGGGGACCAAGTATTTGACTTTCAATCTCTCATTTAATCCTCACCCCCACCTTATAAAGTGGGTGCCACCCTCCCTCATATTTTACAAATAAAGGAAGGAGGGGTAAGAGAAAAGCAGAAGAGATCTGCAACTTCAGCCTTATAGGAAGGGGCAGTCCCTCATCACACATTTCCTAGCCACACCAGCCCCACTGCTGAGCACAGAGATCAGAGAAATGAGACTCATTCCTACCCCTTGAGAATCTCACACTCCCAACAGGTGGTTAGCCTGCTATACAATGGGACCCCCGCTTAGTCCTCATTTTCTAGAAAGACTGAGTTAGAAAAAGCCATATCCAGTTTTGTCGCTTGGCTGGGGAGAGTCCTCCAAGCAGGAAAGAAAAAGGCAGCGATATTAAAAATTAATGTTTACTTAAAAATTAAAATGTCCTATTTCCCAGCTGTTAATTATTAAATTTCACTGGCAATTCCACTATGTCCTGGACCCTGACGAAGAAGCCGGGTGACAGCCTGAAAACACAGGCAGTGGGGGGTGGAGAGGAGGGAGAATGAGAACCAGATCAGTTCCCAGATGAACCTGTGCATCAGGGAGTCTTAGCAAAACCATCCACACCACTGTTCCCTGAAAGAAGTGACACAGGGCAGACCACCCATGTGTCAGAGCTAGTGTTTGCTACTGCCAATTGCCAGAGATGTGCAAGATCACAAGGATGGGGCTCTAGAAAGAGGGGAAAGTGCCAAGACAGACTCAGAGCTGCCCAAATGCCTTTTGTCCAAGCACAACACCCACCGGGTCAGTGTGTGCAGCTCCATGATGGCCAGAGGCTTCCCACGAGATAAAAACACACCTACCTAGGCTATGGGTAGCTTTTAAATTTTACATACTGACTAATGGGTACCTTGTGGTCCCCAAGTGTTGGGTAGAGGAAGTGTTCAAAGTGAATATTTTAAATATGAATTATGACAAAATGTGAATCATGAAGCAGGTCAGAAAAGCTGTGAGGTGCACACTATGTGTGCATCAGCATGCCAGAGCCGGAGTAATCCAGCAAGGAGCTGATGGCGACAGGAACAAGAATGAGGGCTGCAGAATACAGAGGACATGATGCAGGAAGAGTTTTGGAGGCAGGATTAACAGAACACATCCATCAGGGAGACTATGGGGTGGGTGGAGGAAAAGGATGAACCAGAGAGACAGGTGGGACTGTGGCGTGAGATCGGAACTGAGAACAAGGGAGGGTAGAATGTGGAGATCCATCTGAGTCATGGAAGTCGTGTTTGCAGAGCTGTCCAGCAGGCACTCAGACCCAAGTCAGGGCTCAGGGAACCTTTGGGCTGATGATGGGAAGGTGGGAGTCACTCTCACACCATGGTGTCTAAGGCCATGGGAATGGATGAGAGCCTCCAGAAACTCCAACAACTGATGGCTGGGAAGCAGAAGAGGCGCTTCTGGAGGGGACCGAGAAAGGAGAACGGAGAAGTAGGAGGGAAATCCAGAGGATGCTTTGTCACAGAAGCCAAGAGATCTCACTGTGGAAATGTGTGCACAATACGCTGCAACATGTTATAGGTCGTTTCCAGGAAGAGATACACTTATAGAAATGTATTTATTTGTTCATGCAGTCATTCATCTAATCCTTCATTTAGGCAGGAAATATACTTTGGTGCCCTGGGAAGGCTTAAATTTGGTGCCTCTTCAAACTGATATTCCTTACATACCCGCTCGCCATCTGTTTGGAGGAGACGCTGTATCATGCATGGGGCAGAGCAGAGTCACAGGTGGTGGCCACAATATATCTCTCCCTTTGTCTCTGGTAACTCAGCCTTCACCCTGCCTCCCAGGTCCCACACAGTGAGCAGAAATGCCACAGCAGAAGAACACCATCCTCCTTAGAAGGGGACTTGGTGACTATCTCTGGCTCACCTAGCCCATGGAGCCTCGTGGAGGTCCCTCCCCTCCCAACACACATGCCTAAGGGGCTTAACAAGGCACCACTGCTTCCATATTCTTGCATTTCCAGTAAGGGTTTAGCGTCTCACAGACGGCTGCCCTGCTGCCCAGCTCACAGAATGACCTACGTGGGGGCCAAAATTCCCATCCTTCCACATTACCCCCAAATAAAAAGAGAGCTTGCCAGAACATAACCAGTCTTTCCAGAGCTCATACCCCTCCCACTGGAATAGTCTCTCCTGATCCTTCTCTAAGGCTCTTCCTGCCCCCTCTCAGACTTCTCTTCCTTCACCAGCCTTTTAAATGTTGATATGACAGAATGTGGTTCTAGCCCTCTACTTGGGTGGCCCCCTCCAGGCCTACAGGTCCCACTGCCATCCACATGTCTACCACACGTCTTCCACTAAGTTCATGGGCACTGCCATAGACTGACTGTTTCCCCCACCACCGTGGAATTCACTGAAACCCAATTCCCAGTGTGATGACATGTGGAAGTAGGGCCTTTGGGAAGTGCTTGGTTCATGATGGTGGAGGCCTCAAGAATGGGATTGGTGCTCTCAGGAAAGAGCTCCCAGAGAGCCCTCTGCCCCTTCTGTCGCTGTGTGAGGACAGAGGATGGCTGTCTATGACTCTGGAAGTGGGCTCACACCAATCACCAAAGCTGCTGGGGTTTTGATCTTGGACTTCCCAGCCTCTAGAACTGTGAGAAATACATTTCTGTTTTTTATAGCAGCCTGAACAGACTAAGACAGGTACCCTGTGAATCTCAGTCCCCATGCCCAGCAGGTACCTGAATCCAAACGTCTCTAGTAGAGCTCATCACCGACCCCCACTCTCTAGTAGAGCTCATCACCGACCCCCACTCCTAGTCCTGGCTGTCTTCCTCCTATCGTGCTCAACACCACCACCACCCACCAGTCTCTCAGGTGTCACGGTCATCTTGGACAGCTCCTGCCTCCTTACTCCTGCATCCATGTTGTGTTAAGTCAGACTGACCACAACTCCTTCCCAATTCTGGCAAATTCTCCCTGCACATCTCCTGGCCCGAAGATTACGAACTTCTTAAGTATAACCATATTGACTGGTTTCTCCTATCTCCTGTGCCTAACACTACATCTAGCACAGTATTTTTTACCACAACCTACAGTGAGAAATGCATTTTATATCACAACCAAAGAAATACGCATACATACGGAAACAATAATTCAACCTCACAATACTTAACCTTACTTCTACCTCATGTGATGCCTCCTGATTTTCTATTTGATTTCAATTCTTTAAAAAAAAAACAAAAAACCTCATTTTGACCCATTAAACTAGTTTCTGAACACATTAATGGACTATGACTGGTAATTTGAAAAATACCAGCCGGTATATCATAGGTATTTGATAAACATTTGTTGTATGTTCGCTTAGTGAATGCACGCACGGCCTTATGAGATCTTTCATCATCACCGCCAATTTTCAGATGAGTTAGCTGAATCTCAAGAGAGAATTTTCTTGCTCTGACTCCAGATGTCGCGGCTTTCCACAATACCCCGTGGCCAGCGAGACTCCCTCCAGCCCCACTATTCTGTGATTCACCTGCTGCCTTTGGACAGCCACTGTCAGAACTGCTGTGTCGTTGCTCAAGCATCTGAGTCAAAACACCCAGACCCTCAGTTTCTCATCTAATCTATGGTGAAAGTCTGATGGATGCCAAGACTCCGTATCCCCAATCAGGAATGTTCTCAATGGCACTCTTGCCTCCCGCCACCTCTGATGGGAGCTCATGGATTTACTGAACCCAGGGAGGGGGTGGGGGATGCCTCCTTTCTTACTGTGGGTTAAACCAGTCTGATAGCTGAAGCTCTCCGTTGTTTTCCTCTTGTTCATCTTCATCTGTGTCCTCCACTTCTTGGTAAATGCGGGTCCTACGTACAAAGGGAAAGCAAGCCGAGTGAGGCAGGGAGGGCGATCTATGGTGCCGGGACAGCTGGTGAACATGAGCACACCTTCCCAGGTGGAGAACGCGTGCGGCGAGGGGGTGTCTGGAGAAAGCTTCACGACACACGATACGTTTGTGCATAAACACATGCTTCTGGTGGAAAGGCTCAGTACCCACCTTTCTTATTTTCCTTCCAGGTCTGCACAGTTACCGGTTTAGTGACCCAGGACCCTCAGGTTATTTCAGGGAACTTGCTGGACTAATAAACAGCTAACTGAATTAGCTTCAAGCATCTTTCCCACAGCCTAAACGTCAGCCCAAGCCCCACTTACCCCCAAGTTAAATGGAAAAACTAAACCAAACCCCCAAAGTTAAATATCCTAGTCCCAACCATGAAACAGATTCCTTGTATGACTTCAACAGGGCCAGAAAGATGAGTGACAGAGAAGGTCACGACCATGAAGCCATTTCATTCAGACTCTCTATGAGCATTGGGCAGATGGACAAATACAGAGGGTCCTCACATCACCTTACCCATTGTTAAACCAGCTCGGAAACCACCAGTGCTTCTGACTTATGCTGTTACCAACTTCTGGGTTTCTAAGAAATGAGAAAGATGACAATTTTAGAAAATGAGGCAGTCCCAAACGGGGATCGTCGGGGGAGGGTTTCCAAACTCCTTTTATGGCAGAAAATCACTTAATTTCTTAAAACAAAACAAAACAAAACAAAACTATCAGTTCATAAAACAGAAGTGACGCTACCCTATCCTGGGAGATATACGGGGGTGCTGAATCACTCTGCTGTACACCTGAAACTAAGATAACACTGTATGTAACAAACTGGAATTAAAATGAAAACTTAAAAAAAAAGTGAAGCTGCTCTAGCCAAACAGGGGAAGACAGACCCACCCCTGCCCGACCTCTCCTCCCTTGGGCAGCCCCCCTGCACTCAGCTCAACTAGGGGACCCTGGCAGGGACAGAGGAGAGAAGGGGGGGTGCAAGGTGGGAGGGGGGCACTGATCGGTAAACCTGAGTCATGGATATCCCACTTACTGGTAGTACGACCGTGATGGGACCTTTTCCCTCTCTGAATCTTGGTTTTCTCCTCTGAAAAGTCAGATATATAATAACCATGGTGACAATCATGGTAATAAACCTACCATGAAGGTAGCGTTGAAACGTGAACGAAATCACATATAGCAGAGAGCTTTATTACAAGTTGAAAATTACTAGAACGCACTGTAAATCTTAACACACACACACACAAAATAAAAATGCATATTTTTCCAAGAATGATCTCTTCTGCTAAAGCAGAGTTCAGGCTGCTACCAAGGTCAGCAGGGACAGCCTCAGGAAGCTGTCATCAGAAGCCACCCTTGCCACCCACACGTGGAAATTTCCATCCTCTCTCATTGTGAGAGTCTCTCCAAGGCGGGGGCTTTCTGGAGGAGGGAAAAGAGCAAAAGCGGGAAGGCAGGGGCTGCAGTGCCCTGTGGCTGGAAAAATCAGGTGGTGAGGCAGGAACAGGCCTAATAATAGGAAGAAACCTGTTTTAAAGCCCATCTACAGGGGCGCCTGGGTGGCTCAGTTGGTTAAACCTCTGCCTTCAGCTCAGGTCATGATCCCAAGGCCCTGGGATCGAGCCCCACATCGGGCTCTCTGCTCAGCAAGGAGCCTGCTTATCCCTCTCTCTCTGCCTGCCTCTTTGCCTATTTGTGATCTCTGTCTGTCAAATAAATAATAATAAAAAAAAAAGCCCATCTACATTCCGGAGGTGTTTCAGATGATGGATAATTTAGGCGTGGTTGCCATACCACAGGGAGACCACATACAACTTGAACAGAAAGAGAAATATTTCTTTAGTTGCCCAGGTAGCTCTTTTCATTTGATCTTGGTCATCCCAGCTACTCATGAGAATAAAGGTTTTCACCTTTATGTTCACTTCATAGCTGAGAATTTGGCCACATGGGTTTGGGCCAAGTGCTAAGATCCCACAGAACGTGAGCATAAAAGCCAGGATTTGACACCAGGGAAAGAATGATATCAGAAATGAAAGCCGAGGAAAGTACAAGCAGTTAAGCGCAAGACTTTACCCTGAGCCTCCTGGCAACCAAGCCAAAGATAGAAAAATGAAGGCTTACATAGTTCTCGCTGCCTTCAGTAATAATAATAATAATAATAATATTAGTTTGTCAGGAGAATCTGACTTTTTTTCCTGATCCTTTGTCTCAAAGGAATTTCTTACAAGGTCTTTGTATAACATATACTGGGCAGCATAATGGAGAATACCTGTCCTGATTATTTTCATCAGCAAGGGGGAATGTTCTCCAAGTGATACCACTTAAAGAAACCCTTGATGAGAAGCAAGGGCAAAATACAAGTCACAGCTGGATAAAGGCCAATCTAGGGAATGGGAGGTGGGTAGTCCAAATCCCTGGGAAACCACTCTTCACCTCCCCACCACCCCCACCGAGCCCTTGACCAGGGTTCTACCCCACCCCCCAGCCCGCTGCCATGCTAAAAATTGACTGTAGGGGGTGCCAGACTGGACATGGGAGACCTCCCATAGACCTGTAGAATTCAAAGCACTTACTTTGAATGATATATCCACAAGAAAGAGCCTTCTGGGCTGAAAGCAAATGAGAAATAAAAACATATCATGTTACTTTTAATTCAGAGAAAAGTGATTTTGCAACCATTAACAGCGAAGCCCTGGGCTGAGCTGAAAGCCTGGGTTTTGACTACTCCTATGTTTCTACTGGGACTGGAAATATTCACTTATAGTCACGTCAGGGTTATTCAGAACAAGAGGTGGGAAAGAGGTCACTGGAAAATCTCAAACCTTAACCGAAAAAAAAAAAAAAAAAAAAAAAAAAGCATAAGTAACTATAAGCACTTAACCGGAAGACCCAGAAGGCTTCCTGGAAGAGGGGGAATGTTTTAACTGGGATCTGAAGAATAAATGGAGTCCAGGTGAAGGGGAAGTAGGAAGAGTGTTCCAGACAGAGGGAAAACCATGCAAAGGACTTGAGGAAAAAAGGAGGCATTAAAATGTGCAAGGAAGTGGAAGAGAAGTAGCCAGAGGCCAGACCTTGCTGGGACCTACTGGGGATTTAGCCCTTGAAGGGTTTTAAGCAAGGGAGGGACAGGGTGTTACATGCAACTGAAGAAGGTCACCAGAAAACAGAGTGCAGGGGTGTAGGAGTGAATGTGGGTGACCAGTTCGGAAGTGATGGCCATTGCCCAGGCATGACTCAGGGTAGCTGAGAAGGTGGAGGGGAGGAAGCTCACTGACTTGAGAGGCATTTGGGGGGGAACAGTGACAGAATTTGTCGCATGCGTTACTCCACTGCTCTGTGCAGGGACGCTGTGCCCCAGTGCTAAGCCTTGCTTGGCCCCTTTTCCTCTCTGAATAAAGGGAGGACAGCCTCGTAGGAAGAGTTCAGGCACCTCCCTTGACTCATCCCCTGCCTGGCCCCAGCTCCCTCATCCCTGAAAAACACAAATGACTCACAGTTGTTGCAGACTCTGCCAACGCCCCTTAGCCTCTTATCCCCTCCCTCTGCCTTCTCCCCCTGTTGGGTGTCAGCACCTCCTTGTAGGAAAAAAAAATTCATGCTCTCTCACTGTCGATGGTTTCCTCCTCTGAGCCCAGGACTCATGGAGCACACTCTAAAATTTCTTGTTCCTCTACTGATTCTGACAATATTCATAATAGTGAATGCTTGGCCAGCCACTGTTCAGCATGTCTAAGCAATTGACATATATTAGCTCACTGAACCCTCACAACAACCCAACAAGTAGGTTCTACTCTTCCTCATTCTACGGAGGTGGAAACCAAGGCACAGAAGCATTAGGTGATTTGCCCAAAGCCATACTGCTAGTGAGGAGTAGAGCGGTATTTGAACCTGGAGAATCCAACTCCAGATGCTACAAGAGGTGGAAGGGGGAGGGGAATGAGGATGGGACCCACCTCGCAGGTGGCCACCTGGCACTCAGGGCACCAATTTCTAAAAATTCAGTTTTGCTACCCTGTCACTTCTCTTGACTAACCTCTCCTTCTTCTCCTCCTCACCCTCCTCTCTCAGAATCTTTCAGCATCTCAACAGTCACTGTGATACCCACGATGCATATATGATATTTCCCACATATTCATCCTTCAAGGCGCAGCTCAAATGCCATCTCTTCTGTGCCCTTCTTGATACGATCCCAGCATAGTGCCCGGCACCTAGTAGGTGCTCAATAAACAGTTGTAAATCAATGCAAAAAATAGATTCCCTCTCCAAGCCAGACATAATCAATCTTAGCCTCCTTAACTCTGCCAGTTCCTTTTCTCTACCCTGATAGTCTTTCTCTACTTCTAGCGTCTTCCTGCTCCATCTTGACCATAACCCCTTGAGTGCAGTCAGTTGATGTGTTCCATTTAGTTATGTCAAAATCCTTTTTAAGCTCAGTGTTGTGCACCTGTCTCAGGTTAGGGCCCTCAGCTCCCCGCAAGCCATCACACGGCCAACTCACGAGGTGGCAAAGGATCTGCTGCTGTTTATGCCTCTTGCAGACCCTCATTAGATTGCTCACACTGGAGGATGATGTGCCCAGAGTCTGGGTGCCAAACCCTGGTCCCAAAGAGCAGCCAGAACCCGCTCTAGTTACTGTTCAGCCAGTGCCCAGCGCTGCAAAATAACCCTGTTTATGGGAGGTTGGTGCCAAAATGCACACTGGGGCTTTTGGCTCCCACATTTTAATTTTGCAAGCTGCCCAAAATATGGAAGTACAACTCTGGCTCAGACTCAAAACAGCAAGCTTAAACAAACAAGCACTCAGAGCCTGCGGGCTATCTGCACAAGCATCGCGACTCAGGGCAGGGACCCCACGGAGTGCTTGTTCTGCGGGGAGTCTTCCAGCTGCTAAAGCTCTTCCTTCTATTTGTCAAATCCCCGGGTCCTATTCTGCCCTCTGGAGCCGATATGATGACGACGATGATGGCAGTTAGCAGTTACTGAGTGCTTATTAAGTCCCAGGCATTGCCCTAAATGTTTTATATACAATGACTTATTTAATCCTCCCCACAACGTGCCTATGAGGCAGGTACTATTATCACCCATTTTTAAAGAGAAGGAAACTGATGAACAGAGTTGCTGAGTAACGTGCCTGGGGTCACAGAGGTGGTACATGGTGGCAGAGGACCAGTTCCAGACAACGTAGCTCCAGACTCCTCTGCCCTCGAGTACCCGAGGGATCCCAGTCTCCCTGCACTCAACTCTGAATCCACTCATCTTAGGACTAAGTACCCCCAGCTCCCTCAATTCGAAAGCTGTGGATGTAGACCCCTTGAACTTGATCACACTCTAGCTTGTCTTGATTTTATGAAAACAAGCTGTTCAGAGTAATGCTCCACAAGGGGTTAGATCTACGCTGTACTCTGGGGAATAACAGCTCCATATACTGGGAAGTCCTCCTCCTACTGATGTTCTTAAAGGCACAGGTCCTTTTTTAGTAGCCAAGATGGTCCTGCTGGCTCATCAAATCTTAGGATTTCAGAATTAAAAGAATTCAAATGTTAATCCAGGCTGTCATCTTTGACTTGGGGGCTACTAAAGCACTCCACCATGAAAACAGCAGTTGTCGTGCCAACACAGCTCTTCCTGCCCATAGCTGTATGGTGGACTTTTTCGATCAAGACGGAGCTGTCCCGGTGAAGTCAAAGGCATCCTGCATACTTGGAGCTGTTTGCAGAGACTTCTTTCTGTTAGGAGTCTCTCCAGCTGGAACCTCTGAGACCATTTATTTTCCCAAAGCACAGAAGCACGTACATTTGGGGTAAATCCATGGATGAATGTGAAAACCCAGAAATGCTTAATTCATTTTGCTTTCCAGAGTTAACAAAACAAAACTCCCCCGGTGTTGCAGCCAGGCACAAATGAATCACCCGCCACTCAGAGTGGATTTTATGGCAAAAGTCAACAACTCTGAGCTGCTCCTTTTAAGCCCTGAAAATATTTTAGAATTGCAAAATTCAGGGTGCAATTCTCATGAAATTCCTGTCTGAAATTTCTTAAGGTAATTCCTACAGCTCATTGTACAAATCATCTAAAGTCACATTTTGGGTTTACAACGGCCTTGCTGTTTCTGGATATAGCCTACCCGGAATGGCAAGGTTATAAAAATCAGGACATTCGGATTGTAGCAGGAAGGAAGAGAATTTTGCTCCAAGGTACTTGGAGATTTAATGATTTTAAATATAGTCCAGGGCTTGGGATACAGGAAGGGTGGAATCTGCCTTTCATTGTTTCAGTTAATCTCCATTTCAACTTCAACCTGGTGACTTGGCTGATAACTAAGAGATTCAAGTCAAAGGTGGACACCGCACTCCCCAGTTACCTGTGGATATATTCCCAAAACACAACAATCACAGTGGAGACAACCAGCATTGACAGAATCACTTTTCCTTTGACATTCATTATTTTCTCCTGGGGAAACAAAAAAGGAGAAAGGAAGAAATGGATTAAATAAATGCAAGGTGAGATACGGTTTCTAAGCAAGGCTTCCACCCTCTAAGGGGAAATGTTTATAAATATTTAACTAGAGCTAAGAAGTGTGTTCTACCTTAAATTGAGCAGGCTTGCAATGGCAGATTGGGCTCCCTTAATGAATTGACTTACTTAATGAATTCCCAGTGGGGAAGGAGCCGAAGGCCACTTTGGCGCTCAGGGAGGGGCGGGGGTGTACTCTCTGACCACAGGGTCCGCCATGGACTTGGGTGGGTGAGGGCGTAGCTATAAATGGTTCCCATGGGCTCCAGCTGCCTCCTGACTTCGATTGTGGGGAATCATCCCTTCCCTGGCTCTCTGCTGCCTTTGATACACTGACCACATGCCCCATCCTCAGGATGACCCTGGTCCCTTAAAGTCTAGGTCACCCACTTCTCAGCCCCACCTAGCTTTTCCCCACCATGCCCACAGGCAATCAATCAATCAATCAATCAATCCATTGGCACACGATAGGTACATAAATATGTCTTGACTGCTGCATGAAGTTGTGGTTGAAGAGAGACAGGGTGCTGGGTGGGGAATAACAGATTAGAAGTATTTTAATTCCAGAGGTCAGGGAAGGCCTCTCACTGGGGAGGTGACAGAGCTTCCCAAAAGATGAAGACAGGGTGCAAAAGGACAACAAGTACAAGAAAAGTCCTACAGTTGGGAGCGAACAGATCTAGACTGGGACTGTGGCCACCTCTCACGATGAGGAGATGTCTTCACTCCCAGAGAAATGCGGATCTGGGGGCCAGCACGAACGCATATGGAGCTGGGGAGCCGTGACCTTGGGGTAGGTCCTCGGGTCCTCATGCATAGCTCCAAAAACCTCTGAGAACCAAAAGTCTTTTTTTTTTTTTAAAGATTTTATTTATTGACTTGACAGAGAGAGAGAGAGAGATCACAAGTAGGCAGAGAGGCAGGCAGAGAGAGAGAGAGGGAAGCAGGCTCCTTGCTGAGCAGAGAGCCCGATGCGGGGCTCCATCCCAGGACACTGGGATCATGACCTGAGACAAAGGCAGAGGCTTAACCCACTGAGCCACCCAGGCGCCCCAAATCAAAAGTCTTTTTATAATTCCACTGGCCTCAGGGCCCTAACTGACAGGAGGCTCTCTATAATCTTTATCCCACTTAGTGAGACTGTTTAAATGTTTCTTTCCACCAACATTCAAGTATTTTATTAAGTGATGCTCATGCACTGGGGCGTCGCCTAATACGTGACATATTATCCACACCCCCAAAATTCTGAATGCCAACATATCTGGCCCTGGAGTTTCAGTAAAGGGATTGTGGCTCTCTAATTGAATTGGTTTCCTCATCTTTTAAAATGGGGATGAAGGGTGCCTGGGTGGCTCAGTCGTTAAGCCTCTGCCTTTGGCTCAGGTCATGATCCTAGGGTCCCGGGATCGAGTCCTGTGTTGGGCTCCCTGCTCAGCGGGAAGCCTGCTTCTCCTTCTCCCACTCCCCCTGCTTGTGTTCCCTCTCTCGCTGTCTCTCTCTCTCTCTGTCAAATAAATAAATAAAATCTTATTAAAAAATAAAATAATAAAATAAAATGGGCATGAAAATGGTAATGACAAGAGACGGAGTCCACAAAATGCTTCTCCCTGCGCCTGGCACCGTAGAGATGCTCTCCCAAAATGCTAGTTTATAAAATGGGCCTTTGGGAGGCTCCAGTGAGACCAGAGGCCATGCCTGGTAACTTAGCAAGAGTTCAAAACAAATGTGAAGAGAAAGCGTAGGACTGTGTTATTAAACAACGAAGTGCAAATAGATGCTAATGAGGGACCCTAAAGATTTCTCTATCTGTTCCAAGCCACAGCCCGAGGAAGAGCTCCTTGGACGTGGGATGCAAGTGGGATTACACTGACCAAGCCCAAGCCAGGGGCCCTGCTACCGACACCCCGCGTGTGCGGAGGAGGTGACCACACTGCCACGAGCACCCAGAGCTCCACCAGCCCCTCCTGCTGAGGAGCCCATGCTGACTGTTTCCCAGTGTAAGAAACACCCACACTCTCGGGGTGCAGAAGGATTGCTGACACTTAACCCTGGGCAGCGTCCCAATCAGACACACCTCCCCCTCGCCTCTCCAAATATGCGCAGGCTGTTTGAATCCAGAAGCTAGCATCAGAGGCAACTCTGTAAGCCCATGGCTTTCTGGACTTGATAGACGGCTTGAACCTGATCATGGCCAGTCATCGCTCTTGCTGGAGACTTACAACCAGAAGCTTCACCTGGGAGCCAATACTGTGTCCTTCAGTGAAGCACTTGAAATGGGTGTATCTGTGCTTCCTGGAATTTGGGATCCAAGTCCCCGGGGGAAGGGAGGCTTGGCAGGGTAGCCATCTCATCTTCTAAGACATTTTAATTTTTCTCTCTGGACTAAAATTAGGCCTTTGGCAGTTGATGTGGTCTACGAGTTCTTCTCTTGGGTTTCTGTCTCAGAATTTTCAGAACTGGATAATTCTGAAAATTGGTGGTTGGCTCTCTTCCCCATCAAGATGGAAATGTGGGATTGCTTCTGAATTCCTTAATTTAAGGGGTAGAGGACAGAATTGGGTTGAAAATTGCCACCCTGTCTCATGTGGGGAAATGGGACTCCAGGCCACCCTTTGGAAGATTCAACCAGGTCCAGTTCCACCGAATCCCCCCACCATCTCCCAGGCCTTCTTGTCACACTTGTGATTTTTCCCCCAAAATGCTTCTAACCCCGCACACCGGCTGCCCCTGTGCTCCTCGTAGAGCATGGCCCTCACAACAGTTTCCACGTGACGTGTCAGATGGATTTCTCCATGTGGTCCATAAATTAATTCTTCCCTATCACCCCACCCTGTCCCAACACAGAACAACACACACACACACACACACACACACACACACCCTTTCGGAGAATCTCCGGAGTTCCACCCCACTGGGGCTAAGTCAAGGTATTCCTTCTAACCTGAATTCCTCTCTGAAAGGAATTCTGGTGGACCATGTTTTCTCCGTCTTGTCAAGGGGTGAACGTCTCAGCTGAGTAACCGAGCACTCAGAAACTCTGGAAAAGCCATTATCTCGGGAGCACAGGAATCGGGCAGAGGGAAACCAGACCTTCCCACAGGCTAAAGAGCCTCCCCTCTGCCTCTGATCCCTTCCCCAAACCCGGGAAGCCAGCGGCATGCTCCCCATGAGGCTGACCCCTGCTAGTCTTAAGTCACTTCTGGACTATTGCGTTCAACGAAGAGACTCCAAAAGGCTACAGGTTAGGTGGTGACAAGTGTTGCAAACCAGAACAAAGCAGGTGAGAGGGCAGGGGAGGGCAGGGGAGGGCAGGGGAGGGCAGAGGAACCAACTGGGTGCTCATGACCTTGGGCAAAACCCTCTTGTGTCCTCCATATCTGCCACTGTAATGTGTAGACCCAGCACTCCAGGTGGAAACTAGGCCAGCAGGAAGACTCTGGAATCAGTGCTCCTGGATGCATGCCTTGAGCAAGTACTCAGAGCCTCTATTTGCATGTACAAAACGGAGCTTTAAACTTCCTCCTCCAGGGTTCCTGAGAAAGGACTGAAGGGGACAGTGTCTATGCAGCACGTTTTGCCTGGTGGTCAGCAAACACGCCGCAAATGGCAGCCATCATGATAAGGACGCTGTTCCACGGGAGAGTTTCTGCATTTGTGGCTCTGAAGTAGAGCTCTGACTTTATCTGAGAGAGGAGTCTGGGTCCTCGGAGGCTGCACCATACAGAGGAGTCAGGAGGAACCCACCCCCACCCCAATAGATGACTGAGGCTCAGGACCCCCGGTTCAGGACCCAGCTACTCAGCATGGTGCCCCCCATCCCCGCCTGGTGCTCAAGGTGGGCGGGCCAGGAAGGTGAGGGCTAGAAGTCTCACTCTACAAGGGCAGCTCACTTAGACACACAGGGAGCTCCTGCTGCCATGGCCTAGGCGGATTCTTTGCGTGACAACAGAATGGTGGGGGCACCAGCCAGCATGTGCTGAGTGGTGGGAGCACCAACCAGCATGTGCTGAGCACAGAGGTTGACTTAACCAGAAACTAATGAAGCTAGTTCTCCTTGCAAGCCAGGGCCAGATCATCAGGGTGGGGAGTGGGTCAGGAAGGTCTGTACGTTGCCTGAGGCAAGGAGTGCTGCCCCTATCTGGGGGATGGTTCCAGCCTTGAGGAACCTTGGGGCTACAGGTGGGGCCCAGTGACTGATCCCACTCCCCGCATGCCCACCTGGGTCCCAGTAACAGCCTGCCCCAGGTGGACCTGGTTGAGCACCCAGGAGCTGCCCACTTGGGGAAGGACTTTACCCAGATGCTGCTCTGCGCCCTGCCCAGGGGTCACAGTGATCCAGGTTTCATAGCCACCTCGTACCCCATCCCTAACCCCTCCAGGGTCAAAGAGCTGGGTCCTCTGAGGGAGAAACAGCCAAGAGATGTACAGATGTGGCACCACTAGGTTGTGAAGCTCTAAGAAACCTTTCTAAATGCTCAGTAACAAAAAGGAATGTTGGTTAACCGTGCCAGAGGCCAAATGGATTTGTTCTTCGTCTCGATTGAAAATGATACTGCAAAATCGTTGTCAGATAAAGAGGCAATCCAAGACTATGCAGACTATGACAGATGCATTAGGCAGCTAGGGAGACTAATTAGCCTTTCTGTGATTTTCACATCATTTCATTAGGATGTCGTTTCCTGGATTTAGTCCTATTTGAAGTATTTGTCAGTGTTATTTGCTATGTTATCTCTTCTCGTATTCTAATCTTCATTTCCATGCTAATACTGTACTTGCAACTCTGAGTTCTTTTTCTTGAAGAAGGCTCTGAAAATCAAAGAAGCTCCAGCCCCTTCAACACTTGGATGCTCGCCTGCTGAACTAGGCCAGGCCCTGGGCCAAAAGTTTTACCAGCAGTCTCTCAGATGCATCTCCCAACGACCCTGTGAAGTCACTCTAGCAGCATCCCCGTTTTAAAGATAGGAAAATGGAGACTCAGAAAGGTTAAGTAACTTGCCCATTGTCACACAGCACAAAGTGGCAGAGATGCGACTCAGGCCCAGGGAGTTGGGCTTCAGTGTCCACCCTTGTAACCCTCTTTTCTCAAAAAGCATGAAGGCTTATCCATGGACTGATCACCTGGGGCTCTCTGACACATCCTCTCATCTTGTCTCTCTTGATAATCACACGATAATCACTTGGGTCACAAGGGACCCAGACTGGCTACTCACAGGCTGGACTCCCTGAAGGGCTGGCTTCTCCTGGGACCAGCCGGTGAGCACTGGCTGAACAGCGCTGCCATTTCTAAGTTCCTCCCGTGTGCCCGGTGGGTCCTTTCTCACCTGCTCTACCTCGTTCGTCCCTCATCGTGGTCAGAGTAGCGGCTTCTAGCTGAGCAAACAGCTTTAACACAGACTGAGGTCACTGCGCTCATCCAGAAGGGGAGTCTGAAAAGCAGCCCCTCTGTCTCCCAGGCCCTGCTCTCAGTAGAGGAGGCTGCCTGGGGGTGAGGAGGGGAGAGGGCCCCTTGATCTGAAAACCCTGCTGCAATGGTGGGTGTTACAGGGAAATGTTCCCCATTGGAAGAAACATGGAATAATCTGTGGGGGGGGGGGGAAGCTTACAGAAGGCTGTTTCCAGTGATGTTTTCCATTATGAGGCTCAGAGTAAACACAGGCAGAGGAAATGAAGAGCCAGGTCTCAGACTAAACACAGGACTAATTGTCGCTCCAGCCACCACAAACGGAACAACCTGTTCCCTGAGGTACCTCTTGTGGTGCCTTTTCCTGAATCCCCTTCAGGAACTCTTAAGGCCTGGATCCAGCAAGCCTGTCCCTGCCGCCTGGCCCAAGACGTTGCCATGCCAGGGTTTTCCCAAGAGAAATATGGCAAATGAAGTGTGCAGTGCCGTGGGAGGGCTCTGGGTCTACCCACAATGCCGGCCCCGGGCCCTCCGGCCTCTGCACAGCCCGTGGAATCCTAGAGAGAAAAGCCTAGGCCGCAGCCACGCCAGCCAGCCAGCCAGCCAGCCAGCCCCTGGGGGAGCAAAATAAAGAGCTTACAGTGAATCCCTGAGCCAGCGTCCCATGGCTCCAGCTTCTAGAGCAGGGAAGGAAGACTCTGTCTTCTTCTGGGACTGCTGAGGGCACCAGCAAGAGGTCAAGGGGAGAGCAAGTTTCCTCCCCCAGGTGGGTCCATGCCTCGGAGCCTGCTCGCACCTTCCCCAGTGACCCCAACAAGGCAGAAGCAAATAATTTCAACATTTCACATACCTCATCGTCTGCTTCTCTCCCCGCAGAGTAAAAGGCAAAACAACGAAGTTCTATTGAGCTCCGCTCTGCAGAAGGAGGCAGGGCTGGGAGGAAGGGAAGGTGCAGCCTTCCAACTCCTGTCAAAAGAATAAACAGCTGTTTCAGGAAGAGGGGGGTAGACGGATCCGCAGCAGCCAGGGGCTTTGTTCCTTGCTGGCCCCGGGAAATGGGCTGTTTATCAGGCCTCGTCTCAGAGCTACATGCCAAGGCAGAGACGTTTCTCTTTGGGCCCATGAGTGGCCGGGCCTCCCTCACCCAGTGAAACTACAGGCCCAAACTAGGCCTAGTGTTGGAGGATAGAAGGCCACCACCTTGAGAGGGACCCACAGGCTGCCCACATTGCCCACTCCTTGGCAAAAATGGGAACTGTTCTGAGCCCAGAAGTCCCCAAGTGACTACTATAATGAAGAGCCAATGGAGGGGTTAAAAAAAAAAAATGCAGGGGTGGGTGGGCAAGGAGGAGAGTCCTCAACACTCTTGTCGAAATGCTACCTAGATGTTCCTCAAGGTTAAGCCTCTCCTCTACATCTTTTGAACTTCGGAAGTTGTTTCGTTTGAACGCTATTTTTACAGAATGTTATGAGATCTCCTGCATCGAAAACCGAGCTATAAGAACTTTAAAAGGTCACTGAGGCCCAACCCTGCTCTTTGGCTGAATAATGCTTAACCCTTCCTACACCCACCTCCTGCTCCCAAAATAGAACTTTCCAGCTCGAAAGGACCTTAGTGCAGCGGATTTTCAAACATTGAAACAGCTCAAACTTTTATTAAAAAAAAAAAAAAACAACAAAAAGCCCACAGGAAGTCCTTCTCAGAACCCCGCTATGCAAAACTGCACACAGAGTGCTTTGGCTGAGGCCGGGAAATGAAGCTCAGAGCCCCCACATCCCCATCCCCACCCCAAGCTCCCCCCCTCTCCATCCCAACCCTCCCAAGGGGCCCCACATGCCTCCTGGGAGGACATTCTGGAAACCCCAGACTTGGAAGAGGGGACCAAAGTCCAGGAGTCCCGTCAAGTCCAGCCTCTTACTGCTGTTCTGAACCAAATTTCACACCCCCTCCTCTGGGGGCATGAGCTGGTTGGCCACAGTGTTTAGGGTCTGGAAGTCCCAAGAACGTGCTTGTGAACAAAGGTGTGCCTTGCAACCCAGTCATCGTGCTCTAGATCTGGATGCAAAAGAAAAGGCCCGTAAGCTCACCAAGAGACACGGGACCGGAATGTTCAAAGCGCAGCAAAAACTGGAAATGACCCCAAAGCCCATCCTCAGAGCAGCTCAGTCCCCTCCTAGAGTACGATTCCGCACACCACGGTGAGAACGAGCCAGCTGCAGCTGCTAAGACCGACGGGGTGACTCCCACACACGGAATGCCCAGAGAAAGGAGCCCTGGGTGAATTCATTTATTTAAAGTTCAAGAATAGGCAAAACCAACCTGCGGTGCTAGAAGTTAAGGACCGATGTGGCTGAGAGTCAGAAGGGGCCCAGAGGAGGTCCTGTGGGGCTGGTCCTGTTGCTTCTTGGGCTGGGTAGTGGTTACACAGGTGTGGCCACTTCATGAAACTTTGTCATGAATGTGCCTTTTCCATTTACCTTTACTGAGCACCACTGAGCTCCCTACTAGGGTCCAGGGATGATCTACTGCATTCAACGATCCAGAAACCTGGTCAATGCAAACAGGAAAGATCGCAGAGGCTGGAGGCTAAGATAAACCGGTCCCTTTCCACACGCAAGCACCTCTCACAGGCCCCCCTTCTCAGATGACAAGGCAGTCCCTCCTGGTGATCCTCAGAATCACCAACAGAGTGGTCGGAACAGAAGGAGGCTCTGGGAGCCTCCGGGATTTGCTCAAGGTCCCCAGCTGGTGAGTCCGGGGCTGCTCTTTCTCCCCTGGCAGCCTCCAGGAGATGCTCTGCAGGCCGTGGGGTTAAGGGGCTCCAGGCTGGCTAATAGCAGCTCGACTCAGTGTGCAAACCCGGAAGGCAGAAAATTCAGCTCTTAAGGATCCGGCACGGTCTTCCTCCTTCCCTGATCTATGGTCACGCTCAGACTCTCCAAAACAAAGGAGCACACACTTGTGGTCACTCCTGAATTGAGAAGCAAAAAAAACAGCAAATGAGCCTCGGGCCATACAGCTGTGCTGATCAAAGGAGGCCAGAGGCCACCCAGGAAAGAGCTCAGACCGGGCCTGGCCGGGGTGCCTCATCTCATCATTCGTCGTGACTAGGGCCCATCTGGTCCTGGCCACCCATGGATCTAGGAGCTAGCAGCGAGCATGCAGTAGCTGTCCACCGGCCACACCTCGAGGCAGAAGACAGAGGGGTCTCAGAGTTATGGCCAAGGTGACTGCAGCCCAGGTGTGGAAGGCCTGGCCCAGCACCCAAGACAACCTCTGCCTGGGAAAAATGAAGGTCAAGATCCCACCCTGATTATCTCTACAGAGGAATGAGGATTAAGCATCCGTGACAACCCTACAGACCTTTGCAAGCTGGTGGTGTTCCTTCAGGGCAGTCACAAAAGACATTCTCGCTTGGGAGTGACACAGCAAACTGGGTTACATGAAGTACATTCTCCCTCAGCTTTGCTTAAGTGTCACCTCGTTGGGGAGAAACTCCTGGATTTAGAATGACTTTCTTTTTGTAGGTTCCTTATTTATCTTTTCTTTTTTTAAAGATTTTATTTATTTATTTGACAGAGAGAAAGAGAGCACAAGCAGAGGGAGAAGGAGAAGCAAAGCAGACTCCCCACTGAGCAGTGAGCCTGATGCGAGGATCCACCCCAGGACCCTGGGATCATGACCGGAGCTGAAGGCTGACGCTTAACCCACTGAGCCACCCAGTCGCCCCCTTGTTTTTCTTTTATCTTTTTATCTTTCTGCTTCTACCAGAACGTCAACTCTGTGGGCAGATACTTTCATCCGTTTTGTACCAAAGTGAAACAACAGCTGATGCTCCGTGCATCTCGTGCACTACGCCGCATGCGTAGCACAGGGCTTGGCACCTGCGTGTTCAGTAAATGTTAACTATTCTAAAAAGTGGACGGCCGTGATCTGAGCACTACTGGCAGTGAGCGTTGGGATGGAAGGAGCGAGGCAGAGACGAGTGCAGTCCACGCTACTGCAGGTGTGGACCCCTGGGTGTCCAGCGTGGGCCCAGGGTCAGTGTCTGCACCAGGAGTCTGATGAAACAGCCGCTCGCTGCCGTTTGCAAGCTCTGCCCTCGGCTGGTGCCCAGGTTTCTGGGCGCAAGAGCGGAGTGGACTAGTACTGGTGTTTCTGAAGAATGCAGTGCAAAGGGTGGGAGTGCGGGGAGCTGCTGAGGTCTGTCCTAGATGCCTCGGGTTCGAAGAACCTGCTGGAGCCCACTCAGCAGGGTGTCCTGGAGAGACTGAGGCCAGGAGGGGTGCAGTTTGGGAGATGCCAGCACATAGGCAAGAGCGGGCAGGTCTGGTGAGTGCTCAGGCCCAGCAGCATAGAGGGCAAAGCGGGGCATCCCTAACAGGCACCGCCCTGAAACCAGGCGGGCACTGCTGAGAGGCAGGGCATGGGGGCGGGTGGGGGGAGGGGGTCAAGCCAGGAACAAAAGGAATTGCGACAGCCCGGGAGGACCCTGTGCTGCCAAGACTGCCATGGGATGGCAGCAGGCCGAGACCGGTGAGGCCATCTGGAGTCCCAGCTCTCGTCGGACCCCCTCAGGGTCCCCTGGCCGCTGGACGAGAGGAGAAGGCCACACACATGTGTCTGGGCAAGGTGGCTGCTGTCTTGAGAATTGCAAGGAGTGCCACCCCGGAGGTGGTTCTGGTCCTGGCTCTGCGTCCCACTGCGGGCAACTCCCTGCATGTGTGGGTTGTTTCCCACGCTTCCCCCCCTTCTCCCCCTAACCCTCCACCTCCTGGCAGATGAAAAGCTTGGGCTAGGGTCTCCTGCTCTGCCCTGCATCCCAGCCATGGGGGGGCCGTGGCCCCCCCTCCAACCCGGCCACAGACTCTGGGGCGGCTGGGGCTTTCAGAGCCCTAGGCTGTGATGGGGCTCACAACACCAGAGACAGAAGGGGAGGCCCCAGCCTTTGGCTGGAGAAAGGCACTCTGGGTGGGGCGCAGAGCCAACAGGTGTGCCTAATCCACGGCTTCATCGCTGAGATCACAACCGCTGAGAGGCAAGTTCCAAGCAGCCTTCGCCTCCCTCAGCTGCAATGGGAGGTCCTCCCGCAAGTGAGCATAACATGGGGAGAGAAGGGAAGGTTTTCAGGCTGGCCCCTGCCCGGGTCCTCTTCTCCCTCCCACCGGCAGAGCCTGTGTCTCAAAGGGCCAGCTCCCAGTCCCAGCCTCGCTGCCCCTGTGTGTTGCCCTGGCTGGTCGACGTCTGCCAGGTGACATGAGAGAAATAAACAAGTCACTCTCACCTGCAAGAGTTCAAGTCCCTCTGGCTTTTATGCCCGTGGTAATCTGTCAATGCTCCCAGTGTCTCACTAGCCAGCCTGTCCCCAAAAGTTGTTCACCACTGACAGCATGCATACCAGACAGCCTCTGCTTGAAGGCTTCTAGTGACGGGGAACTGTTTCATCTCTAGACTTTTCTCTCTTTTTTTAAGATTTTATTTATTTGTTTGAGAGAAAGAGAGAGAGAAAGAGAGCAGAAGCAGGGGGGAGGGGGAGAGGGAGAGAGAGAAAAGCAGACTCCCCGCTGAGCAGGGAACCTGCTGTGGGGCTCGATCCCAGGACCCTGAGATCATGACCTGAACCAAAGGCAGACACTGAACCGACCAAGCCATCCAGGTGTCCCATCTCTAGACTTTTCTGATGGTTTAAAGCATATCTTTTCAGTGTGGCACCCATCTCTGATCTCTGCTTCCTAGAATGTTATTAATAAGGATAAAAGCTATCATATCATTCATTTACATGCGCCATTTCATCTGATCCTTACTCTGATCCGTGACAATGCTCTCCATTTCCCAGGCAGAGAACTGGGGCTCAGAGGTTAAGTAACACCGACAAGATCACACAGCCAATAAGCTCTCTCTGTCCATGGAGCCGTGCCTTCCCCACTGAACCCGACAGCTCCTCCGAGATCCAACTCTGTCTTCT